TCAAATTGTTGAGCACTCCAGATTATACGCTCTCTTCTTGCAACTAATGCCGGCTCAGTATTGCCTCAGTATATAACACAGGCTGACTTCGTTGGTGTTATGCCTCAGCAGGAATCTTCAACAGGGATTGCCTAGTAAAATGGTATGTTCGGATACGAGGAGTGAGCCATTATGTTATAAACAAATTTATTCAGTCGTGATTGGTATTCTGGTATCCTCTTTGATAATGGCTTTCAGACTGTTTTTAAGTCACAATTGACTGATTCTTTTATTTATTCTATCCCCTAAATCAAGGATAACAAATTTTTATCTCACTATTGACTAATCTTGGGGGGGGGGGCTCGTAAAAAATATCATGGGATTTATTCTTTGTGTTGAAGATAAATTTACATCATTCAAGCGAAGTTCTGATTTGAAGATGAAAGGAAATTCATTTTAACAAAGAACAGTGAGAAAATGACATTGTTATTGATTAGATCCAACACATTAGTAGAAGCTAGATCAAAGGTAACCACTGCAACCCATTTAGCCTCTAAATTGTGGTTGAATTAGAAATACAGCTTCATAGTTTTAACTTCTTTCAAAAGATAATTTCCACAATTTATTTTGTTTATTTTGCTGATGATGAAAACAATGCATTTTTATTTACCTGGAAGAAACCTTTATCTTAAAAGGAAACAAACGAATCTCCAATGCAGTATATATTTTTTTTCTTTTTATTCAGCCCTGGGTAAACCAATAGGCGAGATAAACATCTACATCCGGCAACATAAACCATGGGCATTAGGAAAAAAATCCGTTTGTTATTCTAGCTTTTAACTCTATCAGAGTCGCGTACTGATGTAGCTTCGTATTATAAATCGTTTTAATTTGTCATCAAAGAGAATTACTAAGGTGAGAAGAATTCAGATCTAATTTTAGATTTAGCATTTATATCTTTTGAAAGATTTCGGTTTCGCATTTCCAACCTTTTATTTCAATGGAGGTTAAAATATATTTATATGTAATAGAGTTGTCGAAGCTGCCGTGAGGGGTAAAAATTATGAATCACAACAATATTAAAATATAACAGAGTGAAGAGGATTATATCTGCTGGGGATAAGCCGTCGCCTTTTAAAGAGGGACATGTACCACAGGTATCACCTGACCGTCATCCAGTGACTGCTAGCAAAACTATAAAGAACCACTTTGTAAAGGGGGGGGGATCAGATCCTTTATAATTGATCCTTCACCCGGTAAGAAATGTCATGGTGACACCGATTCGTCACTAAGTATCAAACAAATATTAGGGACATGAAATGACGGAACAGTAAACCAATGTGGTAACTTAGATAATATATATCAGGAAATTAAAATGTTAATATTTTAGGTGTATGTCAAAGTAGATGGACAAAAGATGGAGATTTCGTTGGCTCATGTATGAGAGAAACATAAGAGAGGACTACTTGCATTATTTACATGATTCGGACTATTATCCGCATTTTCACTGCCATATTCACAACGTTTCTGTCGTTGTAAGCTCCGGCCTTCTTCAGGTGATTGGAATTTTGAACCGAACACTTTATTTCGAACACCGGAGTAAATTGTTCTATTTTCACATGCCATGCTTCTTCTGGATACCTCAGTTATTTCCCTTTAACTCAATTTCCCATGTTTGTGGTTCAACGCTGTGGCCTGATATGGAACTCACAACACTTTGCATCTAGTCACTGGATCAAAACGATGTCTTTATCCACTGGGCTATGTGCCCTTAAGGAGAGGAGAGTAAGAGTTATATTAGACCAAGACACGAATACTATCAACTATTTGATAGAATTGTTGTAGTTAAACTTAAAGGGAAACCTTTTAAAATATCCATCGGAGTTGTATATGCACTGACAGCACAAAGTATGGAAGAGGAAACTGAAAAGATTTACTGTATGTAAGGCAACGCCAAAGCTCAGTGCAAATCCCAAATTACTGTTTTCATGGGAGACTTGAGTGACAAAGTAAAGGTGCAGACAGATGGGGAAATATTTGACATATGCAGACAAGGGATTTGTAATGGACGCAGAGAAAAATGGGTCCAATGGTGCAAAGTAGTAGATAGCACCTGGTTCCAAGAGCACTCAAGACGTATGTGGATATGGAAAAACCCGGGAGTACTAACGCATAACTAAATTGACAACAACGATCAATAACAGATTTAAGAATGCAATTTCACACTATAAAACATAAATAAGTGCTGACTGCGGGGGCAACGACCTTCCAGTGATATCTAAACTTAGACTGAAACTACGTAAGTTGAAGAAGGTCAAGGTAACAAATTGCAATACAACAGACTCTGGAATGACCAGAAATTAAACACCTATGAAGACAGCGTAAAAACTAGATACAATGAATACAATTATAAGGGGAATTGAAGTTAGATACATTCAAAGAAGCTTGAGGCCATCCCGAAGAAAGCTAGACAATAAATAAAAGGACTGGATGACAGATGAAATTCTCGAAACAGCTAAAACTGACCTTGTATGGCCCAGGATATAGGACATTGCACAAAGAAATTAGGAACAAATGCGCGAGGCATAAGAGGAATTTCTCAACATAAAGCCTATAGAAATAGAAAGATTGAGTACTATATGAGATTTATGGTTAAAGTAGATAGGTATAAAAGAATAAAAAATAACTAACAGGACAAAAGACATGTTCGTAACGCGGATGCATAAAATCCAAAGATGGAACATTGATAATAGAGAAAAATAAATATTTCAGAGATTAAATGAATGCATAGGAAAAGTACAAAATTCTACAGAATACGATATTAACACGGGAGCTAAAAAATCGCCTAGAACGCATGACGAAATGATCGTTTTAACAAAGGGAAGGAAATACACGTGACACGACCACGAGATCATTTTTTGATTCAATAAATATTTATGTTATCTTGGCTGATGAATATTTATATCCCTATTTAAAACCAGGTACGTTGATTCAAACACGTGCACTCACAAAAAAATGACATACGCACACGCGCGCACACGAAACACATATACATATTCTACTTCTACCCCACATCTACTCCAGCTGTTTCTTTTCTCGCACTTCCCAACAGTGGAACTCTCTGCCTCTTAATGACTACCTGCTAACTACAATCTTCAAAAATTTAAATGCAAGGTTAATCGCCATCTTCTGTTGTCTTGGACCACGTTCTTCATTTTTTACTTTTCTCAATACCCAAACTTTGCTCTCACTTTCGCACTCTTTTACACCCTTGTGCACTCGTGGCATACCTGCCCTGCTTTGTGTTTATATATATATATATATATATATATATATATATATATATATATATATATATATATATATATATATATATATATGTTTATATTATATTGTATACATATATATATATATATATATGTTTACATTATTCGGACTATTGTCCTCATATTTATCACAACGTTTCGGCCGTTGTACGCTCTGGCCTTCTTCAACCCTTTATTTCGCTCACTGGGGTAGTTCTAGTTCCACGTGCCATGTTTGAAGGATGTCAGTTATCAGTTATCTCAGTTATGTCTCCACTGCCTTAACGGGGTACTGAACTCACACTCTTTGGGTCCTGTCACTGGATCAAACGAACACCTTCATCCACTGTGCCATGTGCCCTTGAAGACATCTGAGCATGAATTTCTGGGTATTATAAACCTAATTTCCTCAGCAATCATTTTTACCAGTGCTCATATTGCAATTTTGCTGTTATCATTGCATGTTTTTTACCAGAGCTCATATCGCAACTTTGTTGTTATCATTGCTTTTCTCTGGCACTCCTTATTACTGGTTCCCATATTGTATTTATTTCTATGCTTAGTCGGCTCAGGAGATTTCTGTGGCCTAGCATATGTGCTGATTCCTTAAGTTTACAAATTTTCCAATGGTGTTTCTTGTCTATGATCTCAACATGATCCCACAGAGGGCGGTGATCTCCTTTCTCTCTCCATATGATTTTTCTACTCCCCCTCGTGTTACAGCTTTCTGGTGTTCTTGAAGCCTTACCTTGAGGGGGGGCTGTCTCTCCTTTATATTCCTTTCCGCAGATATACGGGATACAGTATTTAGTACAGTCTTTAGTCATGTTCTCGTCTATGGGGGGGGGTCTCACTCGGGAGAGATATCTGCGAAGTGTCATCAAGCTTTTGAATGTTGTCCTGATGTTATATAGACCGCAGAATTGATTTTTCTCTGCTAACCCCTTAACATAAGGCAGGCAGACTGTTTTCTGAGTGTTGTTGTCCTCCTTCTCTTGTACACGCCTATCCCAGTTTTGGGGGGCTGCTGCCATGTACCCAGGGTAGTTGTTACGGTGTAGGGTACTACTTATAAATATGACGACAAAGATGAGGACAATAGTCCGAATAATGTAAATAATGTACATAATACCTCATCTCAGAAAAATATATATATATATATATATATATATATATATATATATATATATATAGGTAACTAAACTCGTCTCGAGAACCTTTGCTAATGATCAAATCAATTTCGAAAGAAAAAGGTTTAAAAAGAAAGAGCTAGGAACATGAACGCTTGTCGAAAATAATTGTACAGCATACAGGTCCAAAGCCCAAAGAAAAAAGACCGATACGAGTAATCAACTCGCTTTCCCTGACGATCCGCTTAGGTGAAACCTTGGTAGGTTTGTCTGGCTCTCTAGGTTTGACTGAGTATATATATATATATATATATATATATATATATATATATATATATATATATATATGCAAGATTAATACAAATAGGAAATCTATCACTTACCTGATTGATTTTTGATTCAGCACACAGTCTCCAGAATTTCGTAGTTTTATTTTAAAAACAAACATTTCTATCATCTTTCTATTTCCCATAAATCTTTTTGTACATCGTTTCTTATTTGTTGTGTTCAAATAAGCAACCTTGTGCTCCACCTGTTATTCTCCCTTTTTACTACATGTCACCCACTTCTGTACTTTATTATTTCTATGGTCTGTGCTGCCCTGTTCTTCTCTCTGATCCACACAGTTCTCTTTTTATATCGCTTTCCATCGATTGTTGGGCGTTTTCATTTTCAAGCTCCTCGCACTTTAGCAAGCGAATATTGCACACTTTTGACAAAATTCGATTTTTACACTTGCCTTATTAATGTGGCCTTGTACCAATCTGCCTCTCCATTTTTTGTTAAATTATGTATTTTATATACATTTATTTTAAATCTTTATTATCAGATATTCGAATCATTTCAATATTCTTTCAGTTTTTTCTTGCATTGTTTTATTCATTCTTTCCTTCCCACAATTCATTATTTGCTATCGGTTTCATTTTTCTATCTTTTGGACTTTTAGTTAAGCTACCACCAGATTAAATCTCTAAACTACATTTTCACCTCCTCATACTTCATTCACATTTTTTTCATTTATTTATCGCATGTTTCATTTTTCGTTTTTTTCTATTCCTCATTCGTTTTATTTTTATATTTCTCCCTTTCTTTCTATTTTCTGTGCTTTCTCTTCTTCTCAGTCTTTTCTCTCGATTCACAATTCCTTTACAAATCACTTTGCCGCGATATCATCATTGGCTTGTTTTTTTTTTATGCTTGCTACTTAACTCACTCTCCACTCAAATCCCGATTGAAATTACTCTTCTTTTAACCCCGACCATTTCACGTAACACCTTTCATCAGTACTTTCCACTTTTGGCAATCTCTTTCAATTGCAACTCTAAAATCGGTATAATCCCCAATCGGCTTCGCATAATCTCTTTCTTTCTTTCCCTCGTAATCCTTTGCGTCTTCCTATAGCTTTTAATCTTCTCCCTTCCGACCTCTTTTCTCTTTTCCCTGTAATTTTAGATTCTTCTTCTTCTTCTTATTATTATTATTATTATTATTATTATTATTATTATTATTATTATCAAGTTTAGTTTGCTTCCAGTCCTGAGTATAAGAAGCAAGGCCTCTGGCGGGAGATTGAAAATTCAGAGGAGCGTAGAGCCACCTCTTAATTACTGTTGTTTCAGGTCCATTCTTACTCGTGGTGGTAGTACCTGTTAGGGTCTCAGCTATGGGTACATAGTGAACTCCCAATCAAAAACAAAACATTATGAACATTATGAATATTATGAAAGTTTAAAAAATACATTTTTAGAATAAAAATGCCAGCAATACAATTTTATATAAAAAATACCAATAATACATTTTAACTGTAGTTGAATGCATGCAATTGCGTTCAAAATACATTTAGTTGAATCTATCAAATTGTGTTCAAAATATTTAGATTTCGACTTTAAATAACCCATGTAGGTGTTGATGTACTCCTAAGTAAAATCAACCAACCGGCCAATTCACTTCCTTTTGCTTTTTTACGTCATTTGATTCTGTTATTTTTGCCATCTTCCATTTTTCTCTCCTTTTTATTTTTATTTAAATAAATTTCTGTACTTCACGCCTTTTCATCTTTCACTCTATAGCTTCAACGTCTTCATCATTATCAGTGTTTATCTCTCTGCCTGCTTCTTTCCCTCTCACTACAAATGTTTTGTCTATTTCCCTCTTTTTTCTTTTTTTTTACTCCCCGTCTGTTTCTCTTCATTTTTGTACCTCTTCCATTTTTCCGTGCATAACTGCTTTTTTCTTCTTTTAAATAGAGAACAATTTTTCGCCTTTACCTCTACGTGATATCACTACCCTGTACATTGTCTCTCCTTATCACTTTCTCTCTCCTTATCCCTCTGTCTCTTCCACTCACTCGCCCTCTCTGTCTAGTTTTTTTTTAATCTCCTACTATTTCCACTTGTAGCTTCCTTATTCTCTCACCCATATTATTCCTTCTCCCCCACTCTATTTAATCTTCCTCTTTTTTCTACGTTTCATATAGTCTTACCCTCTCTGTTTTTATTCACTTTTATAGCTTTTCCTTCTTTCTTTCGTTTGAAAAAAACACCTGTTTCATTAAATTAAATTATATTTCCACTGCACTTTTATACGTAATATTTCTCAAGTCCACATGTAAAATTTGTCAAATTGTGATTCTGTAAACGCGTGATTATTTTCTTTCTCAGTTGATGATATATATATAATAATCGATTCCTTTCGGTGGACGCATATTTTCTATGACAATTTCTCGGACATTCAGGCCAGTAAATGCTGTTAATACTGTTTATTATAAACAAAACATTTACTTAAATATTTGTATCTATAAAAAGAATGTATAAACATAAAAATTTCTTAAAATAATTATCGGATTTTGTCCATTTCATAATGTGTGACGTCTTTTGTTTACATTTGGATATGCATCGAGCAGATATGAATGTACGTGAGAAAATCATGGAAATTTGTAGTTTTAAAACAGTAACATCGACCTTGCTAACTGAAACGCTCTACTGTGGCAAAATCGGTAAAAACAAATCAGGCTATATGACGGTTCCGTATAGGATACAGGTTCGATTCCTGTCCGAGGACGCATATTTTTTATGAAAATTTCTCGGACATTCAGGCCGTTAAATGTTGTTAATATTGTTTATTATGAACAGAGAATTTACTTAAGTATTTGTATCTATAAAAAGAATGTATAAAAATAGAAAACGGTAGAGTTTTGCACTATTGTTTTTCATGATTTGAAACTTTAGTTTTTAGGTTGACCTTAGCATTGATAAAAAATCGACTATAAGTGCCACATTAGGATGTAGAGGACGTTGTTAAGTTCTGCTCTTCTGAAAAACGAGTCTGAAGGAACCAGAAGCTACAGTTGCAAATGTTCTATTGGAAACTCACGAGACTGACCCAGAAATGGTACAAAAATTCAAGGTTTCGATTTTAAGAATTGCAGATCCAAATTTAAAATAAAGGATCTTGATAAATGGGTGACAAGTGAACTGATCAAAAATCAAAAAAGAATCGCCATTTTAAAATTTGTCCTATGCTGTTGTGCCCTAAAAAAGAAAAAGAAAAACAGAAATTATCATGATAAAATCCCAGACTATGGCAATTTTACAAATTATCAAGGCCATAAAATTTGTCTCATACAGTTTATTTTCCGCCATAATAAATATCACAACTATTTTGTTAATGCTACAGATTGAGACAAGTATAGCTTAGAACAGTCTCTTTCTCCTTTTCTATGAAATGCTATAATGTCTTGGAAAAGATAGTGTAAGAGTTTCTCCTTGTTTTATTTATAGTTTTCTATTAAGAACTGACCTTCTCTAAGACAAAGCCTTTAGTAATCTTACCAAACAAAGCGACACGGATCAAGTTATCTACACTTTTGTGCAAATTAATTGAAACAATCGCTTTAGTTTCCGTTCTTTCAACATACGGTCAGTTTTAGACCCACTGGAATGACAAAGGGTAATCGATTTCTATCTTTTCCTCAGATTAGATCATGTTCAGTGGTGTGCAGTAATATGAATCTATTTTCGTGGTAATGATGAAATTTCTTTGGACTTGAAAAATATTGCGTCATCCATGATTTTTTCACGCACTGACAATATTGTCTCGATTGTCGATTAGTTCTCCCACTGACATAATCTGCATGCACGTTACTCCAAGGAAGCGTACGAAAATTGTAACGCTGGCAAACGTTACCAGTGAGCAAATCAAAGTACTATAAACTGGCCCGGAAACTCTCCTGGTTTAAATCCAATTTAGAATCGGTGGTCAATCTGCAAGCAACGACTTAGTGGAATGGGCAGACGATGTACTAAGATGTGCACTGGGTCATGTTTCACTGGAAAAATACGAAAAAAATAAATAATAAGGTATTTTTTGGTTCTGTTTCAATTAATTTGCACAAGGGTCTACTGCGTTTAGTTTTGTCTGACAAAGAAACCAAGTGAATTTTTGATTATCTCTCCAAAGCGTGTATCGTAAGTTTACTCTGCGTTTTAGTTAATCTTAGTTTAATATGTCATAAGGGAATGAGATGCGGTTAATCCTATGGCAAGTAGATGAATCCCTACGACTAGTATTACGAAAGTGCGGATAAATATTATTCTCTCTGGTTATTTTTTTCAAAACTAGAATAAATTTTTTAATGCCTCTACTCTTTACAACTTCACCAGTACCCCTTGCATTATTCTTTCTAAGTTCAAATTATGCCGCCTTTTCTCTGTCCTTGAATATTCACACACTTCTTCGACATTTTGTTTTGTTTTCTCTCTTTCATACAAATACATGTTATCATTTCTCTCTTTCTGTTTCTTAGTTTTTATTTAGGTTCATCTTCCTCTCTTTATATTTTCTGTTTCCTCTCTTATTTCGTCACATTGTTTTTCTTCGTATCTTTCTTTCATTACTCTCTCTCTCTTTCTCCCTCTCGCTCTTCCTATAATCCTGCTAAAACAAATCTCCCTTTTTCTAATACTCATCGAATTCTTTATTCTTCTTCTGGATGATTTTCCAGTCGTCACTCTTATAACATGCTACTGGCTATCATTTTGTTTTCCTATCCGCTGAACTAATTTTGTTGCTCGTCTCGTGTAAACTTCAGTTGTGTCTTTTGTCTATCCACGTCGCCAATTTTTCTTTGATGTTTCGCCTTCTTCTGGATATCTGTTTGAAATGACATTCTGCCAACAAAAATACTCAATCGGGAACTGTGTAAATACGCACCAAATGGACACAAACAAATAGAAGACGACGTAAAAAGCTCCAATCATTTGCGAATCTCTAAAGCACAAGGGCGCATGCGTCAAAAATTAAAAGAAAATCTGAAAGTGGAAATCACGCGTTTAAGATCGGCACATGTAGGGATTTACACAAAAAGAGATTCGGCTCTTTATGTTTGTGGACATGAATAGATTGGTATGTGCACACATCGCCATTTATATATATATATATATATAGTTATTCGCATGAGCAACATTACTAGAAACAGTGTCGTTATATTTTGTTTTGTCACGCTATTTCGATGTGCGGTTAGAGATAACGGTGTCTAAATTAGTATGGGCGCGCCGAGTGCGAATTCCAGTCAAGTGTGTTGCATTTACTTTCATACAAATTCACTTGGAGAATGCAAGGCATGATTTAAATAACAGGGCGAAATTGACATTATTTCCTTGGTAATGCAACTTGCCTAGGACAACTATGAATTCAAAATCATCTTTTTATAGATACACCCACTTCTGCTATGACAGCAGTAAAAGTGATTCCTCTAAAATCATCAAGTTTTGATATGTATGTATCTAGATTTATAGGGCAAATCCTAAAAAAGATTCATTATTGATACTAGCTAAAAGTAGAGTCGAAAGCGGTTGGAAAACATTTTATATTATTTTTTTTATATAATTTATGTCCTGAAAATCAAAACATCGATAGAGACACTAGAGAAATTATGTAAAAAAACCTCAACTACCACACTTTGTCAGTTGTTTTCAATGAAATTGCATAAAAGAGGTATTGCTACCCAAATATATATATATATATATATATATATATATATATATATATATATATATATATATATATATATATATATGAAGGAATATAATCTTAAGGTGTGCTATATTTATGGGATAAAATGCTCAATATCAGAGATAGAGCGTGTAAATATAAAAGTGAACATTGAAGTCAACACTTACAGGCGACAGTCTGTTTCATGCTAGACGTAATCGTCCGGCCACGTCATATATATATATATATATATATATATATATATATATATATATATATATATATATGTAATTATACTCGTTTGGAAAAATCTTAGGTGTTTTGGTTTTGTCAATGAACGAACCAATACCCAAGTAAAATAAGGGTTAAAAAAGAAAGAACAAAGAACATGTAATTGAGGCGAAAACAATCGTCCAGAATCCAAGCTCAGAGTCCAAAGAAAAAAACCTCCAAAACGAGTAAAGCAAAAGTAACTAAGTAAAGTGCTTAATACACTAAGTAGATTAAATCTAACTATGAACCTAAAGATATAGGCAAACCTACCTAGGTTTCACCTACGCGGATCGTCAGTGTATATATATATATATATATATATATATATATATATATATATATATATATATAGAGAGAGAGAGAGAGAGAGAAAGAGAGAGAGAGAAAAATTTAGCATGTGGAAGAAATTCTATGTTACACGTATTTCATCGGACTAAAGTAATGTTTCTCTTTGATGCAATTATAGGGGGAGTATCAAAAATACTTTACAAACATTAGGGGCGGGTTCCTCACAGCAAAATATGGACCGTATCATATAAACATATTTCCATAAATCCTTCGTATTTGAGTTAAGTTTCTAGAAAGTTTACGGTAGATGCCGCTGTGTTGCTATGTAGACTAGTTTAGATTTGTCATTCGTGTATATTTTGTGCCTAGTCTGTTCTCAAAGTTTAATGTGTGTTGTAGTAAGTTAACTGAGAATTGTTCTGTGAGCAGTTAGATATGATTTTTACGTACGGCCGCACGTAATGGTAATGGAAGCTAGTCTACACGGCTGTATCAGATTGCGTTTCTAGACCGCAGGCAGCCAAGTCATCCAACATTTGCTGCTGTTTATTGTCGTGTTGCTTAGACAGGATCCATGCCACCACAAACTATGAATCGAGAAATACTGAGATCCGCTCGTACGTCTGACCACAAAGAATGCTTTCTACAGGATGTCTGTGACGATTCAGCTCTCAGCACACGTTTAAGTTGCCTTATCATGTCGTACATCGCATAGTACTGGATGGACGGTACTTCAAGAGAAGCTCTTGTATCCCTATCATTTCCAACGTGTGCAGGTTCTTTTGTACTCTGATCACTCACTACGAGGGAGCATTTGCCGATTGTTTGTGGCATAAACTGCCAATCCGTTGTCACTTCAGTCTTGATTATGGACGAGTCAGCATTTGGAAGTGATGAAATAAATCCCCATGATACAATACAAGCTAGACACTAGCATCAGATTGGATTAATTTGTAGGCTGGAATTGTAGGTGACTGTCTGGCAGGTTCATATGTTCTCACAGATCATCTTATAGGGAATTTATTTCGAACACACTTCTAGACTTATTTGGGGATGTACTCCTGTTATTACGCAGACGCATGATTCATGCCTGATGGGGCTCCAGCAGATTTTAGTCACATTGTTAGTGATGTAATGACTCCTATGAGCCATGAAAATGGATATGTATGGGTGGATGGGTTCCATGGCCTGCACGTTTCCCCAAACTTAATCATTTGGATGAGACGCTTCTATCAACGTGTCATGGGGGCCTGCGAAACTATTTGACACCTTGAGGGGTTTAAAATGGTCCACCAGTCAATGATCCGACGGGTGTATGCTTGTGTAGAAGCAAGCGGGGGACATTTTGTACTTTTGTTATGAGTTGCTTTTCGTCTTTGTTTTGGTTTCTGAACCCGCACCTAAAATTTGTAAAATCAATTTTTAATATGTTCTGTATATGTGCATGTGTAGGAGGAGGAAGCGGATATAAAAATGAAAGTGTCGCTTACAATTACGGACGAGTAGGAAACGTGGAAGATTTTTGAAAGCGAAAATTTTAACATATTTAATGTAAATTTAATTTCTTTTTTATTTCTAACTTTTCTGGATATATGGTTTCGCCGAGTTCTTCCCGTTTCCGCATGATTTTATTTATATTATTAACCCATTACCTGCCATGAGCCCTATTTGGGGATCTGTTAAAATTAAACTCACTACATGATATTCCTTGTGTTTACATTGGATTGCTTATATGCATTGCATTTAAAAAGATATATTTTACAACATTTAGCCTTTAAAGTTTTTATTATTAGGCTTAAGAAGACACTTTCTGTCGTAATTTTACATTTCACGAGTAGAAAAATAATGACTATTTTGAAAAGTATTTTTTTTTATTATTTCTAATCAATATTTTTTTTTTTGATGTTTTATACACATATATATTTGATTTTAGTTTTTAGCTTTTGATCTACTTTCTATAAAATGACAATGGTAACTACTGAAATTAAACATAAGGAATAAATAAACTTCTAAGTCACCTGCCTGGGCCCCCCAAAATTTGGCAGTTAATGAGTTAAGTATCCCGCATGCTGATAAAAACCGCGTAAACCTGAAACCCGTACTGTTTCGCATACGAGAGACAATAGTTTGAACAAACCATTGCCACCTCCAAATATGTCGAAGATGTTCAATTTTCTACACCAGAATGTGTACATGCCATTCCACTACAGATTCTAGTTTTTTTTTTTCGTCTTACAAAACTGTCCCCGGCCTTCTAAATATTTTCACAGATTGGATCCAGAGCTTTCTAAGGCTCTTCCACATACACAAACGTCTGTCTAAAATCGTTAGAAATTAGGTGGATATGATGGTTGTCACTAGTGGTCTTGCTTGTGCATCACGTATAGACGTCTGTTGTTCTCAAATGCCGAAATTTGCATATTAATGTTACCGGAGAAAAACTAGACCAGTTGGCAACACGAAGATAGTGTCGTTTTTTTTTTTTTTTGTTTTTTGCCAGTGTTTATTTAAGAAACTATTTTATTATTGTTTTTTTGTCAATCTCTCAGCTTTGTTAGCACTAATAATGGATATTTTTCCAGCATCTTGCCGTGTGTATAAGGATAAACAAAAATGAAAACTCAAACACCTTAACCAAATCACCACAAAATATTTGAATATTTATATTTATTTTTAAAGCGAACGTCAGAGACAACGTTATTCTAAGTTAAGTGAACTATATATTCTCGACACTTTTATGATACAATTTCTGATGACTACAATATAAGGGCATCGCTATCAGTCTGACAATGAAAAAGTTTGCAAGTTATTTACTTTACTTTTCTTTATTTCTTCCAGATTTGTAATGTTTTATAATTCAACTTTTTCTATATTGTTTTGTATCTCATTTTTAGTTGTTTTTTTTTAGTTATTTTTATATTTTGTATTCAAATTCATCTCTCCATTTTTCTGTCTTTCTCTCTCATCATTTCTACTTTATATCAGTTTCTTTCTCTTTATCGCACTTCTCTCTTTACCGGATATCTTCAAATGTTCAATGTCTTTCTATCTTTCTTTCAGTGTATCTGAATAATTATTTCTTTTTTTAGCATTATATTTTCTTTTATCCTCTTAGATTCACTATCTTGTAACACAATCTTTTATTTGTTTCATTTCTTTTTTTCTTTCTTAATTTCTATTAGTCATTCTTTCTTTCTTTCTTTCTTTCATTCTTTCTTCCATTTGTCCTTTGTTATTTCTTATCTTGTGCCTTCCATTCTCTCTTTCGTTATTCCTTTGTTTCTTTTTTTTTTTTTTTCATTCATTCTTTATTTCATTCTTTCCGTTGTTAACTTTCCTATTTCTTATCATTCATCCTCTATTTCCCCTTCCATTTTTCATTGTTTCTTTTCTTTTCTTTCCTTCTCTTTTCATTCTTTCTTTCTTTCACTCTTGCATGTGTTCGCTGTTAACTTTCTCATTTCTTATCTCGCGACCTCCATTTTCTCTTTCATTTCTCATTTGATTATTTTCTTTCTTTCTTTCTTTCTTTCTTTCTTTCTTTCTTTCTTTCTTTCTTTCTTTCTTTCTTTTCCTGTTCCTTTCCATGACATATCTTTGTTATTAAATTTATCTCCTCTCTTATTCAATCACTTTTTCCTCTCCTTTTCCTCATATCTTATTTTTCTTCTTTTTCCCAGTTCTTGACGCTGTTTCGTTCTTAGTTTCTCCAGTTATTTTTCCTTATTCTTGCTCGAGAGCACCTTCCTTCGTTCATTCCACACGTCCTTCATTCTGTCCTTCATTTAATCATTCCATCCTTACTACCTTGGAGCTTTTTCTTCATTTTCTATATTCTTCGTAAATTTCTTTTATTTCCATTCGCAAATGTCTATCCTTTTTTTTCTTTTTCTTTCTTATAGTCAATTTCTTATTCTATCGTTTTTCTTTTTTTTCTCTTTCTTTTCTTCATTCTCTAGCCGTTCTTTGCTGCTTTGTTCACTGATACATTTTCTAACTTTAACGTTTGAGAGTTCCTTATTTCTCTTGCTGTTCCTTATTTTCTTTTATCTTACTTCTAATTCACATTCGTTTATCTATTAACTATTCCGTGTTTCTTCCATCTTATTTTTCCATTATCTTTTCCCCTTGCTTTCGTTCTACCGTACTGAACTGATGTATTCCTTCCTTCACTTCTTTTCTTCCTTTTCTCAGTTTCTTGCGTACACTTCATTCGTCCAATTTCCTGCCACTTTTTACCCTCCCTCAACCCACTCCTCTCTTTTGTACTTCTCCCTTCCTACGATACTTTCTGTTCTCTTCTTTCTTATCTCTCTATCCTTTTTATATTCACTTTATCGTCCACAAAGCAGATTTGATTTTTCTTGACGCAACTAAATGTAGTACAAGCGTTTTAAGCATCAGCTAGTCTTAAATTGAATTTCAATCAGGGAAAAAGCTTCTTAACTCAACCAAAACAAGCATTTTTCGCTGATTTCTCTCTTCTATTCAACGTATCGTTCACCGCTTTCCTTCCCCAATTCTATCGACAACCTGATACATTATTATCCCCCGTCTAACTTGCAAACTTCGATATCATCAAAATAAGTTTGAGAAACCTAGTAGCCAAGGAGGCGATCAACTTGCCTGGACAACGCTTTTAAACGGAAAATTGTGGAAGAGAAAATCGTGGTAATGTCTCGAAACTTTCAGATTTGATTCTATTGAAGTTATCTCCAGGTTGATAAACATTCAGGTCAGGAGAGCAAATGTCGCCATTGTAATCCAGGACAAGATGATTCAACTGATTTTCTGTATCGTAGTTTACAGAAGATTCAAAATAGACTTGAAAGAGAATTAAAAATCTTATAAAACAGGAGTAGAATACTTGGAGACGTTCCCAGGAACCCTGGAAAACGATCTGAGAATTTTCAAACATTGAAATTCACTTGGATCACCCAATGGAAATGTAACTGGGGTGAAAATCCTGTCATTTGATTTCGCTATTGAAACAAACAAGCAGGATAAATAACTGAATCTCGACAAACAGTTGATGAATTTTACAGATTTTAGAGAACTGGGAAGATCCCTAAAACATAAAGTTGAGAGTACCTCCGGTTGATTGTTTTTTTTTTGTTTTACGGAATATCAACCTCAATTGGGTATTTAATGCCGACAGTATTTTTAATGCTGGTAATATTTTTTTCCAAAAATGTATTCTTCGTAATATTTTTCCAAAAATATATTGCTGGTAATTTTTTTTTTCAAAAATGTGCTGCTGGAAATAATTTTTCCAAAAAATTATTGCTGATATTAAAACCTATTTTTATACTTTCATAGTGTTTTTAACCCTTTTGGGTGTTAACTATTTGCCCATATCTAGAACCCAGGTAGGTGCTACCATCCTGGGTGAGGGTGAACCTGGAAATATCAGCAGTTAAGTGGTTCCATGCTCTTTAAAACCTGATCAAAGTTTGTTGCTGTCTGATGTAGTTTATCTTCATACCCATGACAGGGGTATTTCCGATCGTATTTAATCATACCTGGTCCAGTCAATCATTGTGGTGGGTGGTGTAAGATAAAGGAGAGTTTTAAATAATGGAAAAATACATCGCCTGAAATCGGAGGAAGTTTAAATGAACTTTGCACGTGTAATAACTAGCGCAGAAAAATGCCGGGATTAAAGTTCTAAAAAAAAACAGAATTACTCAGACCGAGGTACTGTTGAAATCTGCGAGAATAAAATATAAAATAAACAGGGTTATCGTCATTCGATCATCTTGTGATTAGATCTTTTAATTCATAGGAAAAATACATAAATCAATTATATATTAGGGATCTATAATTTTATCTTTATTAATTATTTATATGTGTTTTCTGCTTTTCGTGTTCAATCATTGTTCCCTAGACTTCTACCTTTATATATTATCTGTGGTCATCATATTATCTGCGAGTTAATTTAAATTTTCTCGAGTAATAGAAGAGTGATGGCATAATTAAAATTCAACTTGCTTCGTTCTTTCTATATTCAAGTCAAAGCAAGATTCTTTTGTAAATGGAAAGTCAACTCATGTCTGAGTACGACAATTTGTTGGTTTCCTTGCCACTGTTGAGGTCTCCGTTGACTCAATTGTTTAGCAATTTAAAGCACGGGTTTTGACTGCATTGGGACCAATGTGTCGTGGCTTGTAATGTAACGCAACGACACTCGCGGACATTCACACTTTGTAGCATAGATTACAAGTGAAATCAGACTCGGCGTTATAATGATTGATTGTGATGTTGTTGAGGTGAAGTGTGCGACTCATCAAAGCAACCTTTCAAGAAAACATAGACGTTAACATTCTGCATTTGTGTGAGTATCTTTCATAACATTTCGGGGGTGGTGGCTAATATTCTCCGTGTAGTAACTAACCAATTTTAGTTCAGTACAATATATATATATATATGTGTGTGTGTGTGTATGTGTGTGTTTGTGTGCGTGTGTGTGTGCGTGTGCGTGTAATAAGATAATCCTTAAAAATCCATTTCTGTTATAATTTATATCATGAATATATTCATGAACACTTCATTTAATACCACGGACAAAGTGCTTTGATTTAGTTTTTTATACAATTTCTCATGAGATCTATAATGTTTTTTCTTTTCAGATGATAAATTATATAAAAATGTTGTAATAAATATGTCTACAAAGATGAGGACAATAGTCCGAATAATGTAAATAGTGAACATTTATTCTTTTATCCGATTAGTATTGCTGCGTTTACTGGATTATTCCTCCAATTACTTGATTCATTGTTTGTTCATCTTTCTTCTCTGTTCGATTAACCGAAACACTATTATTGTAAATTTTGTAAATAAATGTTTTATTAATTTTAGTTTGTCGTTTACGTCTTTTATTTTTAAAATGTTTGTTGGCCTCAAATGACTCAAATTTATTTGAGCGCATAGGCCTTCCTATATTCGTCCCCACCGACACCAACATCAACTTAAATAAACAGAGAACAAAATAAAGATTTAAATGAAATCAATGCAGACCAAAAAATACAGTTGATTGAGAGAGTTTAGAGAGACATCTGCCATGAACCTCCAGCTTCAGGTCTAAGCATATTTCTATTGGACTCAGATCTTAACAAGGCCAATCCAGCGTATTGATCCTTCTCTCTTTTAATCTGGAGTTTTGTTGGTGTGTTTAGGGTCATTGTATTGTAGCAGAACCCATTTTCCATCGAAAATTCTGATCAAGAATTTGTTGACGGCATCAAGAATTCATATTTATTTGGGTAATAAGATGTCGTGAGGGATTGACAGGAGAGGAAAAGTGTTTTTTCCCCTGTCAAGATGGATGCTGCAAATGTAGTATTTATTCCATGCCAGAGGCCGTCTCTATTCCTTTGAGTTTTCCCCACCATTGCATGATATCTGTTACCTAACGGTGGTGTGATCGGCTATGACTAGCTTAGACACGCTCTAACAAGCTTTGACCATCTTAGACTAGCGGCACGAGTGGAAAAACACGGGACCACACGTTAAAAACCGACCTTGTGTCACAACCTGACTCAGTGGTGGGTCAATTAAATCTCAGGAAAGAAAAGGTGTCCTCCAAATGCTGATGGTGAAAATTAACCACAGACCTCCGCCAAAATGTTTCCCTATTGAAATGAAGTTCATTGTTTGATAGGCGGTGTTGTTTTTTTCCAGACATAGCAGATTTGATTGTGACCAAACAATTTTATCTTCGATTCATTTGTCTAAAAATGGACTATCAGAAGTCCTCTTGTTGTCCATGCGTTCGCTGGCAGTGTTTACACAGAAAGTTTTGTTTCTCTTTCAGAGAAGCAACGTCGCCAATGTATAAAATTTATATTAAACTATGAGGGAAAAAGTGCAAGGAAAAGATAAACGAAATGACTCGCTTAAAGCTGTAGATTTAATGTAGCAGAAGAGAAAAGGGGTAAAATCTTATCGGTACTCTCTCTTCAAAGCCAATTAAAGGCAAAATCTTAAACTACAAGAAAGAAAAAATACAGTTTTCTGGTAGTATTTTTCTCTTCTTTTTTTAATCGTTGTGAACATGTATACGTTTTTGTTATCGATTAACTCTTCAGAGTTTTCCGGGTAACCCTATTGTCTGGTAACGGCTTTTATTCATTATGTGACTAATTTCCTTTTTCTTATCCTTGTTCTTCTTCTAACTTTGCAGTGTAACACCCGCGCTCAGTTCGCACTAATAAATTTCTAAAATACTTACGTTTATAAATGTCGATAAAACGGTAGATTTTATCAAATTTATCAAGCCAGATTCGAATGGAGTATGTGCAATTGCACATAAATGTAAGTAGTCTGGAAATTTTTAATGCGGGTGTTATACTGCTATTTAACCCCCAAATCTTCAAAACTATATTTCCATTTACATTATTAATATTATTATTATTATTATTATTATTATTTCCTTTGATTTCTTGTGAGTACACATGTGTTTCCGGGTCCCGTCCAGGGACCTAAGGTTAGAAATGGCATCATGACGATTTCCACTGGAATTTTTTTTTTACATAAACAAAGCCCTTCGTAAAGTGTGGGCTGTACTCGTGAGAACAATTTTTTGTATTTTATTTTAGGCAGGGGCTTCCAGGAATCGCTTCAATTAGTCAACTGGAATCTTTTACAACCAATCCTAGGGCTCCAACTGCAACGAGGATTCTTGATGTTCCCATGTGTCACATTTTTGAGATTTCTATTTCAAGGTCCTGGTATTTTGGTAATTTTATGTAGATCTTGGAAGATACATTGCAGTCTGCAGGGATTGCCATATCAATAAGAAGGCACTTTTTTGTGTGCGATCTCTAATAACAATGTTTGGGCGGTTAGCTTTGATTGTTCCGTCTGTGTGTATTGTATAGTCCCATAAAATTTTTACAGGTCCTATCTCCGTAACCGGGTCTGGCTGGTGTTCATACGAATTTCTTTCAGTTACCTTCCCGTAGAAGTTATTATTATTATTATTATTATTATTATTATTTATCTTATTATTTTATTATTTATCTTATTCTTATTATTATTCTTATTATTATTCTCATTCGTATTCTTCTTTTTATCCTCATCAT